ATCATGACCTGAGCTGAGGCTAGATGCTTAACCCACTGAGCCCCCCAGGCGCCCGACAGATGACATTTCGTGTACACATTCACGTCCTGGATGCTTGAGCTGCTACTACCTTTTGGCCACTGTGAGTAATGCTGCTGTGAACATGGGTGTGCACAGATCTTAAGGAACCTCCTTTGGGTTCTCTGGGGCATATGCCCAGAAGAGGCATTGCCGGGTCATACACTAACTCTCTGGTTAACTTTTTTTTTTTTTTTTTAAGTTTTTATTTATCCATTGGACAGACCGTAGTAGTAGACACAAGTAGGCAGAGAGGCAGGCACAGAGAGAGGAAGGGACGCAGACTCCCTGCTGAGCAGAGAGCCCGATGCAGGGCTCGATCCCAGGACCCTGGGATCATGAGCTGAGCCAAAGGCAGAGGCTTTAACCCACTGAGCCACCCAGGCGCCCCTCTCTGGTTAACTCTTTGAAGAACCACTACACTGTTTCCTACAGTAACGTCATCAGTTTACACCCCGCCAGCAGTCACAAAGGTTCCGGCACTTGAGACTTTTTTTTTTTTTAAAGATTTTATTTATTTGACAGAGAGATCACAAGTGGGCAGAGAGGCAGGCAGAGAGAGAGAGAGGAGGAAGCAGGCTCCCTGCAGAGAGCCTGATGTGGGACTCAATCCCAGGACCCTGAGATCATGACCTGAGCCGAAGGCAGAGGCCCAACCACTGAGCCACACAGGTGCCCCACTTGAGACTTTTTTTAAGACTGATTTATTATTTTAGAGAGAGAGTATGGGTGGGTGGGGAAGGTCAGAGGGAGAGAGAATCTCAAGCAGACTCTGCATTGACCGGAGGGAACCTGGCGCTTGGTGCAATTTCATGACCCTGAGATCCTGACCTGAGCCAAAGTCAAGAGTCAGACATTCAACTAACTGAGCCACCCACGCGCCCCGCGATTTTCTGTGGGTTTTTGATAATGGCCATCGTAATGGGTATGAAGTGGCATACCTTCTGTCTTGGTTTATTTTTGTTGAGAAATGTTTTGCTGTTTTACCACTAATTTTTTCTGTACCCATTTTTGCTTGTGTGTAATCTAGACACTCATATCCTTCAGTCCTTGGATTTTTCACTTCTGATCATTCTCTCCCACATTTTTTCCCTCATTTCTAGATCTTCTGTTACATATATTGGAACTCCTGAACTGATTATCTGACTTTTTTCTTTGCTGTTACTCTTTTCTGTCATCTTACCGTGTTGTGGGGAGATTCACCTTCCCACCCTTGAACTGACTTTGTAAATTTTGTCTCTTTTATGAGGACATTCTTGTCCTCGAATTATTCTTTTGGTAGCATCCTCTTCGTGACTCCTGAGTTCCTGTTTTGTTTCCTTTAGCCTCTGCCTCCCACATGTCCAGATATCCCACCCTTGACTGCTTAGATCTGAGCGAGGCATTTTTATATGCCAAGAGTGCCCGCAAGCTTGCGGCCGGTTAGATCCACAAACATCAGTCTATCTATAGTTCTTTCCTCTGGGAACATGTAGTTTCTCTTTGCGCGGTGGCAGCTCCTGACGTCCTGGGAGCTGAAAGCTTTGCTCTTGGTTATGAAGACTTGACTCAATCCCCACATGGTTCGGTGCCTTACCCTTGCCTCCCCAGATCTCTGGCTGTGGTGGTGGGAGCGGGTGAGGGTCTGACCTGCTCTTCGTAGCCTTCAGTCCTGTTTCCACTCACGCCCAACCTCTGTGGTTCTTGATGCCTCCGGTGGCTGAGAATTTTAAAAGGAGTCTTTGCAGGGTGAACTGGTTGCTTTTGACCCCCACCCCCACGCCACTACCCTTCCCAGACGGAGCAGAGTAAAGGCAATTCTCAGCGCTCTTTCATGTTTTCAGACTTTGTATGTTAGCTTAGGAGCACACACATTTTCTAGTGTCATAGAAAATGGAGTGGGTGTTCTTTTCTCTTCCTGACTTTTGGAGGACTCCAGAAGAGTATCGTTGAAAAGCTGGCTATCGTAGAGTCATTGGGCTGCAGCGCCAGCTTTGTGGGAACACAGCAGGACTACAGGCTGGGCAGCCAGTCAGCTGCTTCCACGAGCAGCTCTGTTGGGCTTCTGTCCTACAGATCTTACCTCACAGTTAAAGAACAATTTTAAACCTATTTCTGTGAAGTTTCTGCCCCTCTCCCACTAGTACTTGGACGGCAAGTACCTCCTGATCACATTACCCCCATTTATTGATGTCTTTGGCCCCGGACCTTTTCCCTCCATCCCACATTCATCCAGGTGACATGGCAATAGCTTAGTTCACACAGAGCTGTTTCGTGTCCTTCCCCGTCTCGAGGCGTGCTCACCAGCTCGCCCACCGCTGCCTCCCAGACCTGGTCATTGTTCCTGCCCCCAAAGGCAGATCGGGACTTTTTTCCCCTTCTTGGCTTGCTGGTTGTGTTCCAGCTAGTCTCCTGGAAAGGGGGCTTCTCCCATTGCCAGTCCTCACCTTTTCTTTCCCCTTCCTATTGAGTAACACAGCTCTGTCCTCCTGTTGCCGCCATCTAGCAAAACTCCAACTGTGGATGGAGGGGTTCGTGCTCATTGCCTCCCTTGCTGCCGATTCGAACAGCGAGATTACTTGTCTGGTGGGGGTGGGGCAGTGAATGTGTCTTAGTCATTCCTCTTAGTTCCAGCACATGGTATAGAGAGGTGGTATCCTAAAGACCGGCACACAGTACCTCACAGGACTGTAGAGTAAGTTGTGGAATGATCTGGTGAGGTATGGTGGGATAACCAGAGAAGTTCAGGGGCAGTGATGGGGGCGTAGTGTTCATAAGAGCACAAAGGAGTGCCGTCCATCTTTGAGGGTCAGAGAAAGTATAAGCTTGTACTGATTATCATCATTTGAGATCCTTATACATGACCTCCAATTATGCAATTATTTCTTTCAGGCAACAAACAGGCATTTTCCACAGACTGTTACAGGGGCATATTTGAGTGGAGTTCGAGAAGCAAGCAAGATCGCAGCATTTTGAATAGAATTTGTCTGGACCCAGCTTTCTTCTGTGCCCCAAATGGTAAAAGTTTGAAACACATGTTAAACCTCACTTTCATAAAACCAAACGGAAACCTTCTCTGAGAGCATTAGCCCCAAGAATCCTTTCGAAGCACTTAGATTTGCTTTTTCCACAGGTTGATTAGGGCTAAGTCTTCTGTATTTCAGAATAAGGCAGAAGAGCACCTTAAGATTTTGGGTAGGATTTCTTCCATGGTTGGAGACTCCCTTTAAATCTGACATTTTGTTGGACTCATCAGTTTTCAAACATTGAGAAACCAAGCAGCAATCATTAGAATACCAGATAAAGCCATGTATTTTTCTTCTGCGACAGTTTATTAGTATCTTTGCCAATGAGCCTTAAGACTTTCATAGAGCTCCAATATTGAGCTTTTACTTAAAATTTAGATACAAACCTTTGTTTCAGATACAGCACAAACTCTTCAGCTGAAAGTAAATGAAACTTCTAGACTGTTTTATATTGTACATATTTCTTTCCATTGGGTTATTCAAAAATTTAAATTCAGGTATCTTTTGTGATACATTTTAGATTTGTGCACTCATTGGCAAAACAGCAAAATTTTCACTCCCTTAAACAGCACAGGTATTCTCTTACTTAGAATGGGGTAGAGATAGTACAGTCTTCATACTTTAGGCCAGTGAGAATATGGTTCTTTTTCTAAGAGCCAAGTTGGGGTGGATGGTACACTTTAAACAGCCTTACTTTTGGCAACCACTAGCAAAAAGATCTTTCTTGTCAGAATACTTTAATAAAAAAAACCCCTCTACTGCCTCTTTTTCAAATAACAGATTCAAACTCTTAAGAGTATTTTTTACAGCATCATGTTTTCAGTATTCCATAGGCAGGTCCACTGGAAAACTGCAGAAGAATGTGATATCCTGGTAAATATTACACATTTAAAGCCATATCTTAAAAGCCTGAGAACATGGCAGACACGTTTTCCTTTTTTCACTCATGACAAAATAATTCATTTAAAACAATGATTTCAGGGTCTTCAGGATGCTTATCTTGCCAAATTAGAAAAGTGGATGGTAACTTTAGTGCTTTTGTTTTAAAAAGTCTGAACAGTTCTTTCAATTATATTAGTCTGCTTCAAAAAGGGACTCAAAAGGATTTTAAAGACTTTGCAAAATATTAGGTATTTTTAAAATTTAAAGTCCGCTTGTAAGTAGAAATAGTATTTTATGCAAACTTTACACAGAACTTAGACACATCCGTCCTCATCAGAGTATGATACAAACACAGAAAAGCAAACAGCAGTAAGTCGGTTTCAAAGTTGGGTTAACACAGCAAAATGCTGAGATTTAGAGTCACTGGTACTGATTGGGAAGTATTCTGCTTTAAAATACTATGTATTAAAATGTTTAAAGAATAGCATGTGTTCAGTGGTAAATGCAAAGTATTTTAAGTTTGAAATGGCTCACAAGTGTTTAGTCTCTGGGCACTTAAACTTGTACTGTGCTCTAAGCAAACCTCGTTAGCTGAAGTACAGTAAATGTGTATGTAAAAAATTTCCTGTCTTAAGTGACATCATTTGACTTTTTTTCGTTAAGGAACCACGGTACTTTTCCTCTTGATTATGGTTTTTCACTGTTTGAAGATTTTGTAATTGAATAGCAGTGAATACAGTGTTTCAACTGCAGATTGTGAACAGCTGGTTGTGTATAACTACTTAATAAAAACTAGACTTGTTTTTCAAATACTCTGTGTACTGTATAGTGACGAGTGCACTCGATTCAGCTACGCCTTCCCCATGCAACCTCACCCGTCCCCTCTCCTCCAAACCTTCTGTAGACTTTGTTTTTAGTTCCTGGGTCTTACTCTGCTCACCCCTTTTCAAGTAAATGATCTAAAATAAACAGTAACTGTACTCACCTACCTTCTGTGAGATCACTTCCTGGTTTTCCTTGGTGGCCTCTCCATCGTGTACTTGCTCATGTAACCGTGGGCCGTTATCACTGAACAGCACTCCAAATTAACTGGGACCGTGGGGCTAAATCCACCTAAAAACCTGTTCTGAATTCCTCAGCTGGGGGGAAATGCTACAAGAACCGTAAGACAGTAATGCAGGAGACAAGAGCATGGATTTATTATTTTTATTGACAAGGTTTATAGGAACAAATTAAATATTTAAAATCAAAGGCCAATTCTTGGGTCTCATTTAGTTGTTTACTCCATTCATTTGCATTTATCAATAAACAAGCCTGTTAAAAACCCTAACACACCATTTGTATGGATGGATTTTTATTTTAAATGCTCAAATGGTTTATCAAAGGCCTAGTTCTCTCATAAGTAGCATTGTTTTACTTTAAAATTCAGAGATTATTCAATAAACTGATTAAGACAATTTAAAAGACAAAATAGTCTCATTCAGGAGTGGCCTGTATACTGATCACCTAGAATCCTGATTGGCCAAAATTTAAAACCCAAAAGCCCTGATTCCACACATACATTAAACTTCTTTAATGTTAAAAATAACTCTTTTATCACTTTTGAGAAATACTGTGTCAGAGATACCCACTATTGCCTACACATTATCTTCTAGCATTATACTTGGTACATTTATCATAATTATAAAGGTGGCCCGGTTTCCTGTAAATATCAGCATTTTATATGGGCAAAAGCAGTTAATAAAAATCAGTTCATTTATTATAAGCCAAATGTGCTTGTACTTACTCCCACCCTGTCCCCAAATTTTGAAGTTCTGGTGTATTGATCTGGTTGATCCCTAATATAAAATGTATCTACAGACACTTGCAGAATCAACACTAGAACCACACACTGATGACCCTTCTGAGGCAAAGCAGAGAACGGTCTGTTCCTTCAGTGTTTTCTCCACTGAATTCGGACTTTCACTGCTCAGTCATACCATATGGCCGAACACTGACATTTCATAGTTTATAACTGCAAAGATACCTACCTAGAGGAGTTTAAAAAGTGATCTGCACAAAAGAAATAAAAAAACTTTATATACAACAAATTTGTTTTTAAAAATACAAAAATAACATCTGTCACTTTTGTCATGCTGACAATTTGACGTATATACACATGCAGAAAATTTCCAATTTAATCTCAGTAGCTGAAGCCTGTGTATTTTTAATATGAACACACCGCCACTGACAGATGTGTATTCAAAATATTCCGTGTACTAAATACTGCCACAGTCTCTGCATGTATAAATGTCAGTTTGTTCTACTTGATTAAAAGTAGACCCGAAACAAGCGACTCCTACCAAGCGCGCTAAAAACTACAACAGTTCGAGAATCTACGATCTCATATAAAGAAATCCAAAATGTACAAAATACAGCTATAAAAGCAAGGAACAGTTACTGCCATGCAAAATTTTAAACTAAAAACTGCATAGAAATGCAATTTAAAACAACAAACTCAAATTTACTTTAACACTCAAGATAAAAAGATCGGCAATAAGTTCTACCAACACAATGCCTGCAGGGATTTAGAAAAGGAAATACATTCTCTTTGCTGGTATAATGGTATAAATCAGATCTTTACATCCACGGGACAAGTCATCTGTCTCCTCTGCCTCAGGAAATCAGCTGCAATGAGAGAAACATCATTTTCCTATGCTCAAAGCACATCAGAAACACAAAAATCATATCCCCCCTCCAATTTTTAAACGGTGACCTTGAGAAATCTGTAGGGACCAATATCAAACTCTAGCTACTGTGACTCTTCTGCCTCTGGGGGACAGCAACTGTGCTCACGTGGCTGTGGGAGTACTGGGGACGCCCCCAGCTGCCCACATACACTGCGAGCCTGACAATGCTTTAGTCCCTACTATTCGGACTGTATTTTTAAGCTTTACAATGGGAAAAATATTTTCCCCACCTATCTTGAAAAAATTTGAGGGTCAAATGATAAATTTAGTGACATGAATATTTTGAAAAATACGCAGTATTTGATATACATCATTCCTTTGTCTTAGATGTTCAAAAATGATCAAAATTAGAAAAGATGGAGATACTTACCTCTTTAACAGTTGTTTTTATGAAATCTTTTCTTTCAGTTAAATCATAAGCAGGATAATTTTCATATACCTATGGTAAAAAGGAAAAGGTTAAAAATAGATTTAGAAATCCAGTGATATGCTTTACCCCTTTGGATAAAGAAACGGAGGCTGCGTGCGAACAGCTGCACGTGCGCTCAGGAAAGTCGCTCACCAGACCCAAAACGAGCAGACGGTAAATCAGTGTGTGAACACTCTCACTGTTGTACGCGCTACTGGGAATCTCAGCGGAGCTAACAGACGCAGGCGAGGCCAACACTCAGATCTCCAGTAAGGGAACTAAGCTCTTTATATTGGCGGGTTCTGTCCGATGTTTCCTAGAGACTCCCTTACGCTTCTCTGTTACGTCCTCCAACACGACTGAGGCTCCTCAACTTGAACTCTGACGAGCCTCGGCCTCCACTCCACCACTCCATCCCCTCCCCCAAGTGAAATCCCCGAGATCCGGGTGGTCTCAGGAGTGCTCTACTCCTAGACCTTTCCAGATATCCCTCTCTTCTGTCAACTGGCTCCCATAGCCTAACTTGACAGTGAATTCTGGGCTGACTCCATTCGCACCACAGGCCTCACTCCTGAGGTGCAGTGAAGGTAAGGACAGTTTTTCAGTGAAGGGACAGACAGTGAATGGTTTCAGCTTTTCCAGGAACAGTTTCCATCACAACCACTCCACTATGACACTGCGGTGTGAAAGGTGCCACAGACACGCTGGCAAGAATGGATGTGCTTGTTGTCACATTAAACTATTTACAAAAGCAGGCGGGAAGATAGATCCGGCCCACAGGCTGTGGTCCGCCAATTCCTGCGAAGAATCAATCATTTACATCACACCAGTTGTTCCCCCTCGTTCTTCCCCTGCACAGCTCTGGCCTGGAACGGGTCTACCTACCAACTTCTCTACACAACTTTTAAAGGACGGGTCCAGAGGCGCCTGGGTGGTTCAGTTGGTTAAGCGTCTGCCTTCAGCTCAGGGACCCTGAGTCGGGCTCCCTGCTCTGCTCCCTCTGCCCCTCACCCCACTTGTTCTCTCTCAAATCAATAAAATATTTGAAAAAAAAAATAATGAAAGATTGGTCCCATTTCAAGTTCTTGGTGTCCAATGCCGGAGCCTCTCTAGCAATCCCTCCGAATACTTTATCAGCTCCTCCTGCATTCCCGTCGATGGCCTTTTCATCCCTTTCTCCCTTTCGCTCTTGGCCAAGAAGCCACCATTTTGCATTCCTTCAACTTTCTGACCTACCTCTTCCCCTCTAGCTTGTTTGTATCTGGATCTATCAATATCCCCCATGTCCTTTACCTCTGCCAGGACCCTTTCCGGAAATCTCCCCTGCCATCCCAGCACCATCTCCAAGCCTAATATATGCATGTGCTTTCTCTCCATGACCTTCTTAAAAATCTTTCATCAGCTTGTATCCCCACCTTCCATTTAGCTACAATTTCCTTTCTAAAGCAAGCTGCTCAAAACAGAAGCTTTAATTTATTCACTTTCCTCCCTAGTAATTCATTCTCAATCCAATGGTAAATAACCCTTGCATTTACTGTCCTCGAAATTCCTCTTACTACGTGAATGATTATCTCCTACTTGCTGAGTCCAAAAAACCCCACAAGTCCTCCTCACCTGACCTCTCCATGTTGTTAATAATCCCCTCAAAAAATTACATAAAGTGTCGGGGCGCCTGGGTGGCTCAGTGGGTTAAAGCCTCTGCCTTCGGCTCAGCTCATGATCCCAGGGTCCTGGGATCACGCCCCGCATTGGGCTCTCTGCTCAGCAGGGAGCCTGCTTCCTCCTCTCTCTCTCTGCCTGCTTCTCTGCCTACTTGTGATCTCTAAGTAAATAAATAAATCTTAAAAAAAAAAAAAAAATTACATAAAATGTCTTCACAAAAGTTAAAGGCACAGAACTCATCTCTCTCCACTCTGCCCTTGTCCCTTCCCTCAGAGGAAACCAGTTATCGGTTCGCTGTGTATTCTTCCAGACCTTTAAAAAACAAGTTTTTACACAAACACATAAATGTATCAATGGCAATATTGTCTTCGGTATTTACATAGATGGGTAATAGTCTATATGTTTTAAAAAAGTTGACAATACCTGGGAGGTTTTTCCATGTTCTTTTGAACTGCTACATAAAATTCCAAAAATACCAATGTACCAGTTTAAACATTTCCCTATTGATGGCCAGTTAGGTTCTGATTTTTCAATATTAACAGACATGCTGAACATTACTGTAATCATTCTGTGCAGATGTGACTATGTCTTTAGCATAGAGACCTAGAAATGGAATTGCTAGGTTAAAGGGCATTTGCAATTTAAATTTTAAGATACTACTTAATTGTTCTCCAAAGTTGTTACAACTTTAAGCATGAGTATGTCTCCCTATACCCTTACCAAGCATGAAAACTGTTAGTATTCATATTTTGTCAAGCTAATAAGCAAAAATATTTAAACTTTTATCTTCAAGTAGGGAAAGTGCGTTTTCACGTTTACAGGGCATTTCTAGCCCCCCTCCCTGAACCCTAGCTGTTCTCCATAGCCCTTGCCCATTGTGCCCTGGAGGGCATGACCTTCCCCTTCTGGAAACTGTCTCCCCTCTTTCTCGGCTTTGACAGCACCTCTCTACAGTTTTTCATATTTTGTAGAAATCACTTCTCAACTCTGATGTGAGTGGTTTCCAGGACTTTGTCCTTTGCTTACCTCTATCTTCTTGCCTGGGCCACCTTATCTAATCTAGACTTCTGGATTTAACTCCCAGCAGTACCCCAGTCTCTCTCTCCTACCTTGGAAGAATTACAATGGTCACAGTTTCTCTCACTTGGATGTTCCCAGCACCTCATCTCATAATGTCTAGAACAAAGCTTCTCTTTTTTTCAGAATGTACCCTTTGTTCTGTTCCCTAGATGGTTAATGTAGCCGCGCCCTAACACCCACAGCTGAGCCAACGCTCACCAGGCTCTCTTGATTTCTGACTTGGTTATGGCCACCCTGTAACTTTGATTATAACAAACCGGGGTTTCATGACTATCATCCCATTCTTTATTCTGTCCTCAATTTGTCTGGGATGACTCTCAAAAATCAGATTGTGTTGGCCCCTGACGATCAGCTCCCAATACCCCACTGAGCCTCCCAATTCTCCCATTAATTTCAGGGAAAAAACTAAACTCTGCAATAAGACATATATGAGTTCTACGAAACTTGTCCTTTTCTTCCCTAACTCCTGTGAAGACTTCTTTCCAACTCTAGTCTTCAGCCAAAGAAATTACTATTCCTTGTGGTCACTGTCCTATTTTATGCACATGTGTCCATGCTGCTCGACTGTATGGCGCAGCTGATGCTCTAGGATCTCTTTCCCCCTCCCAGGCCCAAGCAGGTGCAGTTTCTTCTGTGGCGGTGTGCCACCTTCTGCACTCTTCCAGTCCAGCCCTTACCAACTGTCCCCAACTCATTGCAACAGCCATCTCCTATCTCACCTAACAGCAAGCCCCCAACAGCCAAGTAATAGATTTCCCGGCTTTACCCCCAAATCCATCCCAGTGCCTGGTACACAGTATGGCTCAGTGAATGTTAAATGAACAAACAAAACAATTATCAAGGTCTTAAAAAAGTATATAATATTTCACCTTCAGTACATTTGAAATTTTAATTTGGTTTAACCATGACACACTAGATTCTAAAATCTCCCAATTTTGATCTAGGGTATGGAATCTCTATGGAATCATATTCAAGACTAGGGACATTTTATTTTCTGCGTATCAGAAAAACTTCTCACAGAAGTCTGAGCTAAAATCCTGATCTACAGCGTCTTATAACTAATGCTGAAAATAAGGTGGTACATGAGATTGTCTTTTAAAATACCGATTTATCCAAGTAATCTTAATCTCTACACCTAACATGGGGCTCAAACTCACAATCCCAAGGATCAAGAGTCAGAGGCTCCTCCAACTGAGCGAGCCAGGCACCTCGAGACTGCTCTTCTAAATTAATATAACCTAAGGATGCATCAGTAAAAATAGTTTCCAGATCAGGAAAAGCAAGTTTTCTCTGTGGTTTGGAATGTATCACTTCAACTTTCTTCGCTGTGCACATCCTACTGTCATTTATGAAGTAATTTCAATAGGGCAGAGACTTCGACTGACTGAAAGCAGCATCCCAGCACCGTGAGGACGCCTGGCATGTAACAGTTCAGCAGACATTTAGTGAGTGAACACATCCACACAAGAATCCTGCTTTTTGAACTGAGGGCTGAGTGGAAGAATTTTTCAAATTAAAACAAAATGACCCAAGTATTTGTCCAATTACCTCCTTGCAAATCTGCTTCATCGTGACTTCCTCCAAGTTGGCACTGGCCAGTAACTTCTTCACGGTTTCCTTTAACTCTTCATCTGTAGGAGGTTTCTTTAATTTTTTAATTAAAGGTTCATCATCTGAACTATCCTCGGATTCACTTTCTAAAAGTAAGATAAGCTTTCATTAGATTCTCAAAAGGGTTATCAGGTAAGATGATACATCACCACTCCATAAATTAGGTATATAACATCCACTGACATTTTGTCAATTTTGAAAAATTACAATTATTAAAAAAAACTGGTATACCTTCCCCGCCACCAGGCAATTTTCTTGGCAGTTTATTTGCCACACACACTTCAAAACTGTTAAAGCACATGAGTTCTACCTTTAGAGTTGCTGAAAATGTGTCATTCTAACATACCTTTTTTGGAACTGTTTTGATTCTTCTTGGTGGTGCTGCTATCTGCCTTCTTAACATTAGCACTTTTTACGGTTTTCTTACTTTTAGAAGTAGCTTTCTGTTTAGGTTTTTCTCTTTTAGATGTCTTTTTTGGTGGCTGGTGGAAAGGAAAGCAAAGAACATTTTTCGATGAGATTAATTCCATTCCTCTATTCCTCTGTACCTCTTAACAATATTAGAGAAAATTAATATACTCAACATCACCAATGAAAAATTATTACTAGTCATCAACTTGAGATAACCAATACCCTCAAACTTCACTTTATCCGAACACAAAACTAGTCACAAGAATCAAACACTAAAAATAAGACGCCCAAATTTTACAAACTATAGACTGGAAATTTTATATGCATTGCCTTAATCTCAAAAAATACCTCTAGAATATAGGTGCTATTAATATTCTTCTACTGTCTCCCAGCTAGAATGGAAGTTCCATGAGGACCACGATTTTTTTTTTAACACTCTTAAGTTCACTGAGGTATCCCTAACTCCTAAAATAGTGCACCACGGACAGCAGTTGCTCAGTAATTATTTCTGAACATTTGAGGAGACTAAGGCTTGAGAGGTACTTTGCTCACAGCCACATATTTAACAAAATACGTGAGTTTCAACTAGATCTGACTCCAGAATCTATTTTCTTCAATACTGATTCACAGCTGATTAAACAAAAGCAAAGTATATACACATGGATAGGTTAAAATGACAAAATTATAATTTATACTTTGTCCCAACTATGATCTCTGAAATTGGGGAACATTAATTCATTTAATTAATTTCCCCAAAGTAGAAGCATCTTATATAAACAAATAGTAACCTAAAATCTCATCTCTATACCCCCAAAATACTTCAAATCACTTCTGACAGAATGGCTCTCCAAATGTTTTACACTTACAATTCTGATTATAATTCTTAAAAAAAAAAAAAAAAGATGGATATTGGTTTGAAAAAACTCTTGAAGAAAGTTAAAATACACAGACGGATCTGTTCCAGGAGTTAAGTGGGCTCAGCTGCGGCTCTTTCCTCCGGGCACACTGCCGTCGCTACGTATGCACCGCAGGCCACCCGCCACGGCAGCCTGTCTTACCGCAGACACATACGGGTGGCGGGCAGCCGGCTAACCTTGCTAATTTAACTGCCGCTAAGAAAGTGCATTTGAGAGGTGGCAAGGGGTCGAAACGCTTCCTAAAAGTAAAGTATATGAACTCCACCTATGCATTATTATTTAGAGGTCACTTTTACTTATTTCCTAATTCTTGGAGGTGTTCCAAATATTGGGGGGTGCTCGACAGGTTATCACTGGTTCATCAATTCCCTATGACTAACTTGAACTAAGTTTTATTAAGTTTCCACCTAATTCATAAGAAACACATTAAACTCTAAAAGGGAACACTAAAATTTCCTAAGTTCTGTTAGTGTATTTCATACATAGAATAATCACTATTATGTATCACATTTTAGTCAAAGTTCAATAAAACCTGACCGATAGATGACCGAAATACTTTACAAGAAAGTAAGAAAGAGGTGGGGAGGGTGAGCAAGGGATAACATTCTAAGCATTATTACCTGATCCCCATCCAAATTAGATAATTAGAATCACATAGTTAAAATACTTCCAGAGCCTTTTAAGGCCAGGGCATACATAGCTATCATTAAAATTTTACAAGGCACACAATATGGCACCACTTTAAAACCAGCAAATCGAGAGTAGTGCTAGTTTGACAAAGTATAAAAATTCACAGTAATTAAAAAAATTGATAGTGATAAAGGAGAATCAAGCCATGTCCACAAGACGTCACCACTGGACAAACACAAAGAATTAAAACTATGCTTCTTTCTGTATCTCACATCATCATCTAGCAGGGACAGTGTTCCCTAGTTTTTTAAGTGAACAACCAGCCTATTAAGAGAAACACTGTACACATACGGTCACACGCACTACAGAAACCTAATGGGTAGGAGTGTAGGCTCTGAAGGATCGCTGCCTGGTTTCGGGTTCTGGCCCCAGTTCCTGCATTTACAAAATGAGAGAAATGTGATAGTACTAAAGATTTTTATGGGAAGTAAAGGCATTAATACATGGAAACTACTTTTAATGGTGCCAGACTCATAGGAAATGGTTAATGAGTATTAGTTATTATTACCATCGCCAGTGCTTCTTTTTGTAAAGAAATTCTTTAATTAAACAAATGCAGTCACTTGGAAGTTTTAAAGTTTTCTTTAAAAGCAAGGCACATATAGAGACTAGATACACAGAACCAAAGCAGTAAGATAGCTCAGTGACCCCTGTGTTAACTAACCATGGTGCACTGTGCTTATCTCAGTACATTCTGGAGACAGCACTGAACCCACAAACATCCAGCCCTGTAACAATACACTGTGTCATTTATACCGGATTTCACTTCTCTTTAGTAACCAGCGACAAGTTCTTCTGTGACAAACTGGAAGCAGGAATTCAGAAAAGCGATAAATGTTGGCATGGAGTAGCAGTGAAAAGGGAGTAGTAAAATTAACCAAACTCTATCTACAGAACTACCTATCTTCAGGTTTCGTCCTGAGCACAGAGGCAATCAGAGTAAGTCCCATTAGCCTCGCAGATGAACCCAGTCATCTCCACGCTGCCCTAATGGCAAACCAGAGGTCCATACAGGAGGAGGCTGCTCTGAACAGTGGGGCATCCCAAGGACCTGGTGCTGGGACACAACGGACAGTCTCCGGTAGGTGAGGCGAATGTGAATAATCTGGTATTTTGGAGGTAAAGAGGCCCGGAGAGCTGAGAAAAAGAGTGAAAGTGTGCCCACTTATACTCTACAGGAACGTTCAAATCCTCATTACTTCACTTACTCCCTTCCTCTACTTAGGAAAATCTCCCTCATGAGTCTGAATCCAGCCCACCGGTCACTTCCCCTGAATCTTTCATTTTATCACCAACTGACTAATCTGGGGCCCCAGTACCTGGCCTACAATTCACATATCCCTACTTCATGCGAAGCAGTGAGTAAGAACACAGGTTTGAGCCAAACTTCCTGGTTCAAATCCTGACTCTACTACGACTGATTTTGTATTCTCAAGCCAATCACTTACTTTCCCCGGGCCTGTTTCCTCATCTGTAAAATGGACGTAACAACACCAGATTTTGCTGAATTTAAGATTTTTTTTTCCAAATTTTTTCATCTCAGCAGTATCTGACTGGGGTGCATTTTATAATTTACATTAACATGACGCCTTAAGGCACTGAAAATTCCATGAACTCTGGCCGTATCTGTAGAATTGTTGTGAGGATCAAATGAGTAAATATAAGGCAGCAGAGAAAATAAACATTAAATATATAGCTTTATTAAACTAGTTACTTACAGCCTGTTTTCCCATCCTATCACAGGTTTCTTTTTTTTTTTTTTTAATTTTATTTATTTCACAGAGAGAGAGAGCGAGAGCGGGAACACAAAGTAGGGAGAGTGGGACAGGGAGAAGCAGGGAGCCTAATGCAGGACTTGATCCCAGGACTCCGGGATCATGACCTGCGCCAAAAGCAGACACTTCACGACTGAGCCACCCGGGCACCCCTTTATCACAAGTTTCTAAGGGTATATCTGACAATCTCCATGAGAAGAGACACCTGACTGCCTTATTTACCTCTATCAGTCCCCAGCAACCTTAAAAATGTTTAGCATAAAGCAGCCATTTAAATATTTGTCACGTTCATCTCTGTATCATTTTTAGAATGTGGTTTACTTGTACTCTGAACCCAGGATGTGGTTAAAATGTAATTAAAAGGAAAAAGAAAAAGGCATCTCTACAGTCCTGCTTTCACATACACTAGCTTATGTGAACTGAAAAAAAAAATCCAAAGACAAAACAGTTTATTTCATTACAAAGGAGGAAAACATATCTGAGTAGTTGACAGCCAATGCCTTATAGATAGTAAGAAGCAAGACCTGATTCACAAGTTCGTTATGCCTACCACAGATCAGTTGCTTATAGAAATGACTAACGTACCAATGCACGTCTTTCAAGCCAGAGTTGAAATGACAGAAATAAGCCAGTGATATCATAACCTATTTATGTTCTTAAATTTAACTTTTCCATTACATACAGATGTTACCAATAACAATCAATTAAAAAAAAGTTGGTAGAAAATGCAAAATAGCAACAAAGATCACCAAATTCTGCATTAGGGCTCTTTGGCTTTTACCCTCCAAATTTTGTAGGGGCCCCAGGATCATTTCTCTACAAATTTTTTTTTAAAGCTAAGATGTGCCTTAGTGTAATCTTACTTTGTATAGTTTTTATCAAATCTTTCACTCTGCTGACCTCTCCTGTTTATCCTTTAAAAGCTCAGATGAAATCATTACCTCCTGTGAGGGTTTCCTGTCTGATCTTTGCTCCCCAAATGTCCCTAGAAAGAGGTAAATACCCTTTATCTTCTGAACCTCTGTATTATCTTGTCCAAATCTTTTTTAGCTTTTAAGTTACACTCTCCTATACTTTCTTCTTCCTGATCTTTGACTTCTCCCTCTCTACCAAATGCCGAAGGCAGAGACCCTGTTTTATTTGTTTCTTGATCTCCAGCTCACAGCTCAAAAACGGACATTTAGTAGTTGCTATGTAATTATTTGGAAGATTGAGATGGGAAAAGACTCTTGGAAACCAGGTAACTACTGAAGATCAATTCCCAACCCTGAGGTTGTGTCACCAGCACCACTCTGCTTGCTAGAACATGTTTGCTACCAACAGAAGCCAAACTTCTTGGTTTTTTTAATGTAACTGTCTTATGGCACAACTTACCGATACAGATTGCACAAAAGAGACCATCAGGTAAATCATCAAGCGTGAGGCCTGAGCACCTATGTATTTTCTCACAAAGCCCTGCAGCAGACTCACCCAGCTATAAATCTTCTAAGATGACAGATAAATTTACAGTCTGAATCTCTCACCAAGCTTTCTCTACGAAGTGCCAGAGGGTAATTAATTTAGGCTTTGCTGCCGACATGTGCTTACTGTTGCAATCTTCATTTTTTATTTTCATAAATATTTCAAAAATGGAAAAAACCATCCTCAGTTTCTAGGCTGCACAAAACACGCCATAGGTTGGATCTGGTG